ACACACCTCTTTCACTTTCCATCATTCACCTCTTTCATGAGCTGTTGATCAGAGCTAGAAGAAATCACAGAACAATGCTGACAAATTTATGCTCTCCAATATCAACTGTACCCTAACTTCAGCAAGGCAATTATTCTATTCCTTCCTAATTGATCCTTTCACCTCAGTCGAAGTTCCAAATCCTCTCTTCTCTATTTAATTTCCTATAGCACTCCTATTCACATCCTCTGAGCTAAGAACTTTGCCTAATGTTTCACTGAAAAAATTGTCACCATTTGTTTTGAACCCTCCCTTCTCCTCTCCTCATCTCACTCATTCAGACACCTTTCCCTCAACCTCCTTTTCTCATCCAGTCTCTAAGGAAAAACAAAAATTGGCCCTTCTTCTTGGCAAGACATGTCCCCTTAATCCCATCAATCCCTATCTTCTGTTATAGGTTGCCTGAACTATCATTTTCACTCTCTCTATATATACTGAACTGCTACCTACAAATATATCCAAGTATACCTCAGCCTTTAAAAATCCTTGTTAGATCCTATGACCCTTAAAATCTATCATCCTATGTCTCTCTACCCCTTATTTAAGAAAATCCTTGAGAAAGTCATCTAAACTCATTGCCTCCACTTCCTTTCCCTCTATCCTAAATACTATGCAATCTGGCTTCTGACTTCATCATTCTATTGAAATTGGTATCTTTGAAGTTACCAGTGATCTTTTAATTGCCAAATACAACAGCCTTTTCTCAATAGTTATCCTTCTTGACCTCTCTGCAACACTTGACACTAATGATCACCTTCACCTTCTGGATACTACCTCCTCTCTAGGTTTTTGTGACAGTATTCTCTCCTGATTGTCCTCCTATCTAGGTGATCACTCCTCAGTATCCATTGTTGGTTCTTTATTCATGTCACACTGATTAATCATGGGTGTCGCTCTAAATTCTGTCTTGGGCCTTTTCTCTAGTTTCTCTACACCGGGAGTTCTTAACCTTTTTTTCTTTTTTTTTAGCAGAATAAAACTTTTCAATGCATAAAATACATAAGATAGCCAAGGAACCCAATTATATTTAAATACAGTTATCAAATTTTTTCAAAGCAAACTTGCAGACCCTAGGTTAAAAATATCTTCATACTATCTCATTTCTGATCTACTTCTTACGGATTCAGTTATCTTCTCTATGCACATCATTCCTGAACCTATATATCCAGTCATAGCCTCTCTCTTAAGCTCGAGATCTGCCTTACCAACTGCCTTTTGAATGTTAACTTGATATAACTTTGGTATCTCAAACTCAGAGTATCAAAAACTGAATTCATTTTCTTTACTCTCAAACCTTTCTCTTTTCTCAACTTCCCTATTAGTGTTGAGGATACCACTATCCTCCCTATCATTTAGGCTCAAAATGGTAGTATCATCCTGGATTCCACACTGTCACTCATATAACATATCCAATGTAATGTCAAATCTTGTAGTTTTTACATTCATAATCTTTCTCTTATACAATCCCTTCTTTCCCCTCACATAGTCATCACCCTAGTTCAGGCCCCTATCACTTCTGGTTTAGCCTTCTAGTTAGTCTCTTGGCCTAAAGACTGTCTCCCATCTAACCCATCCATTCAGCTGCCACAGTGATTTTCCTAAAGGTCTGCCCACGTCACCTTCCCCTGCCCTTCCCCAACCACTTACTAAACTCCAGAGGCTGCCTATAACCTCCAGGATCAAATATAAGTTATTATTTAAAGATCTTCATAATCTGCCTGCTTCCTGCCCTACTAGTTTTCTTGAACTTTACATTCCTCCACAAACTCTACCATCCATCTTGCTCTCCCAAGATGACACTACACTTTCTATCCTCACTTTTGTTTTGGCTATCCCTCATTCATACCTGAAATGCTTTCCTTCCTCATCTCCACTTCTCAGAATCCCTAGCTTCCTTCTAGATTCAGCTGAAATGATACCCTTTAGAAGAGACCTTTTCCAGTCTTGCCCTGTCCCCTCAGCTTCTAGTTAATTTCCCCCCACCTCATGACTTTCCATCTACTCTGTATTTATCTTGCACATACTTATTTATATACATAACTCTTTTCCAGATTATAATGGAAGCTTCTGGAAGTCAGGGACTATTTTTTGCATTTTGTTATATCTCCAGAACTTAGCATAGTACTTGGCACATGGTAAACACTCAGTATTGACTACTGTCCATAGGATAGGAGAAAACTCATGGGCTCATAGAATAATAGATCTGGAATGCAAGAGATGTTAAAGATTATCTAAGTTCAACATCCACATTTTAGATCTGAGCAAACTGAAGGAGAGGAAAAGCAACTTGCCCAAAGTCACAGAGGTAGTAAGTGGCAGAGGATTCAAACCCATGTCAATCAACTCTAAATCCAGTACCCTTTGGGACTTGAGTTTTAAAAAAAAGTAATTCATGAATCCCTGAGTTTCCATTAGGGCAAGAATCAGAATGGGTAAAAAGTTATTTCTCTTCCAACTCCTGCCTTCTCTGGATTGCTTCAAGTCCCAAATAAAATCCCTCCTTCTACAGGAAGTCTTTTCTTAACCTTCTTACTTCTATTGCCTTCTCTTTTTTTTTTATTATTTCCAATTTATCCTGCATACAACTTGTTTATGCATAATTGTTTACATATTGTCTTCCCCATTAAATTGTGAGCTTCTCAAGGACTGTCTTTTACCTTTCTTTGTATCTCCAATGCTTAGCACAGTGTCTGGCACATAATAGTGCCTAGTAAATGTTTATTGAATGAATAACTAGTTCATCAATGAGCCCGGAGAGGGATTCCCCCCCCCCACCCTTGTCTGAATTCTTCTGCCTTCTTAATCAAATTTCTAATACACATACATTAAACTCCCCTTAATTTATCAGGAATTCTAGGAAAAGAAAAGATAGGAGAGAGTATGGGTCATTCCTAGAATAAAAAAGATCAAGAAGAACTGGGTGGGGGAGATGCTTTTTATAACAATACCCTTCTACAGAAAATGATGGAAAGCTTTGTTATTAATAGCAGGAGACAAACTGAACTTTTGTTTCTATGAATGGAGAAAACACTATTTCTAGAAGCTGGAAAATATGAAGAATGGACAAGATCACTTGGGTGATTTTTTAAAGGGAACTCTCCCCACCTCCCCAACTTTTTTACATAAGGTTAACCTATAAAGCAACTTGTTAGGTTCAAATATATGTCTTACAAGGTCAGGGCTACTTCCCCAGCAATCATTTATTGGAAAAGGATTTTATGATACCAATTTGATAATCTCCAGCTCACAATTACTGTATTCTAATTGAAGTTGTAAACCCATAAAATTCAGGTCCTTTGTCTTCCTGAAGGCCACAAGGTTTTAAAAGATACCATTGTCTTGCCTAACACCCATTACTTTGTCACCAGGGACTGATGAAACAGTCTTGAATTGAAACAGTTCTGATTTTGTCCAGGTCCTTTTCAGGCTTGACAATACACTTTTCAGCTCCCAAGACAAAAAGAAGTTTAAGGATCTAGATTCTTCTAAGATTACCCTATCCATATGGAAGACAAGGTGGCCAGCAGCTGAGACCTAAATATCCCAGTCCTTTCCCCCTCTTTCCTTCTCTTCCTTAGCCACACACCCTCATACCAGATGATAAATCCTGAGACATTTTCCTTAGAATAGGGACTGAGATTTCTCATTTTCCCCCATAATCTATTCAGGCTAATGGCTATTCTTACAATGCACTGCCTCCTTGAATTTATTTGAACTCTTTTTGTTCCTCAGTTTCATGTATTGGATTGTCCTCTTAGGGCTCCTGAGTCAAAGTCTTGAAATGCACACCAGATTAACCTTCCCACCCAGGGCATCAAAGTTTGAGTTTCCCCATCCTTCTGGCTTCACAAGAGACAGGATTTCAAATCTGTAGAGGCAGCTAGGTAAAGTAGTGGGTGGAGTCAGGAAGATTGCATTTTAAACCCTGCCTGCCACACATGTTATGATCTTGCAATCAGTTAAGCTTACTGTGCCTCAGATTCCTCGTCTGTAAAATAAGGGAGTTGAACTCAATAATTTTGAAGGTCCTTTCCAGCTCTAAATATGTAATCCTATGATCCAATTAGTGAGGCAGTAATTTCTGACAAGTGAGCTGGGCTGCTGGCAGAGCTGATGAAAAGGAAAAGGCTTTTTTTTTTTTTTCTAATCATAAGGGAGTGGAGGGCTGGTGACAGAAATTTGATCCTGCTCCTTGAGCCTCTCCTATGAGAGGTGGGAATCAGAGAATCTTCTGTTACCTAAATGTAAATTGTGTTACTTTTAATCAAGAATTAATTCCCACACTTTGTGGCTATCCCATCTCTAAGACTCTCCCTCCCTTATATTTGACTCTTCTTCCTCCTAGGCATTTCTCTAAGCTCTTGTGTTTTAATTTTTTCCCCTTCTCCAAAACTTCTCTCTTTAAGTCAATTTAAATATCAGAAAGGAAAAAAAAAAACTTTTAAAACCTATCTGGAAGCAAGATGCACAAGCAGTTTGCATGAAATAGTCAAATGTTTGTACTTTCTGAATAAGATGACACCCAGTCATCAACATCATCATCATCATCATCATCATTATCATTGTTGTGTCTTCATCTTCCTTGTCTACCATTCATATAGCTAGCTTTAAGGTTTTTGTCCTTGCAACAACCTTGGGAGATAAGTGCTATTATTATCCCAATTTTATAGATGAGAAAACTTAGGCAAACAGAAGTTAAGTGACATGCCCAAGATCACACAGCTAGTCTGAAGTCAAATTTGAATTTGTCTTTCTAACTTCAGGTCTGCAGCTTAAATCTTTTTGCATAAAATTGTCATTCTGCTTATATTGGGTGCAGGAGATGATGTGATAATGAAGAAACAATTTACATCCTACCTTTGAGCTCCTTTTCCTGTCTGTAAAATGAAGTGATTGGACTACACAACCTCTGATATTCCTTTCAGCTCCAAATACATAATTCTATCATCCTTCAGAATCACTTAGAGCAAAGAAATGTTTATTATTAAAAATTTCAAAAGGGAAGGATCAGGAGAAATATGTCTCTACCCAAGATTGTGATGCTGAATTTGGAATTAGAAACTACAGCTTCCAGAATGGGGAGGGGAGAACTCACAAACTTGCACACCCAGGCACTTTCCAGTAACAACTAGCCGTTCTCCACACCTTTCTCCTTATTGTTGAGTCTGGATTTCGATGGTACATATTTTGGAGTAGTGAAAGGAGGGAAAGAGCAAAGTCTTTAAAAGCCAAGAGAAAGAAGCAGCAGAGTAACATGTGCCCTTCAAAACGGAGCATTGCTTCTTTACTCTGTTATGCAGAAACGGGAAGAGAAGGGTTCCAAATACACTTTATTCACATTAGTACTACCACAAAAAATTCTATTTCTTTAAAAAATAGATTGTTTCCCATACAAATTACTACTTTGAAAATATGCAAATATGGTTTGAACAATTCATTTAACAGGTGAATTTGCAGCTGGGGAGAGGACAAGAGGAAATATTGGCGAATTCTATTCCTGGCTTTCTCCAAGACTTGGGCGTCTGATCTGGAGAGAACTAGGGGTTCCAGAAAAGGCAGATGTAAGGAAGGCAGAGAGCTGCCGCAGTCGTCCACTGCCCCTAGAATCTAAAGATGCTTTTGGGACTGCAGGGCAGGTTCTAGGTCTCTGAAGTAAATTTCTGTAAATCCACTTGAAGGGTGGAAACCAGTAGGGAGAGAGACTCTAAGACATGCCTTCTCCACTGCACTGGCGATCTCACCAGTTCCAAGAGACTACTGTCGGGTGAGCTAAGTGCTGATTAACCTGAAAGAGACTGAGTGCAGCCGTGGAACTGGCAGGGAAAGAAGGGTAGCCCTGAAGGACGCAAGTGGAGGCAGTGGCAGCTTGAGGCAAACTCGGCTTGTCCAGGTTTGCTGCCAGACTAGGTTCGCAACCTTGGCAAGGCTTTCGGTCACTGACTAGCACCGGGACTACCACCCGGCGTAGCAGCGCAGGAGTTGGGCTCAGATCCAGACCACAGGCAGGACCCAGAGGCCCATGACCCCGGGCACGCTTCATCTTGTAGCGGTGGTTCTGGAACCAGATTTTGACCTGAGTAGGCGTCAGGCTCAAGAGCCGAGCCAGCTGTTCCCTCTCTGGAGCAGAGAGGTAGCGCTGCTGCCGGAAGCGCCGCTCCAGCTCCAGAGTCTGAGCCTTGGAGAACAGCACCCGTCGCTTCTTCCTCTTCTCAGAGTCGGAGACAGGCAGCTCTACAGGAGGCAGGGACCGCAGCCGCTGCACGGAATCCGAAGGGCTGGTCTCTGGGCTGCTCTCGTCTGAAGCTAGGAGGACGGCAAAGGAGATGCACCACGTTGAGGGCGCGGCACGGAGTGCCCGAATCCCACCAGTCTACTCAACTACCCACGTTGGTCTAGAAAGATTGTCTAAGATCATTTGAATTAGATACTGCCATCGCTTCACACCCTCCCTTCGGAGCGCCTGCCCAACAACACAGGACTTAAATATTTTGTTTCGCTTTCTCTCTTACTAAGGCACCCGTCCTTCTCTCGGAACCCATAAATGACAACACAGACTTGAGATGATAACGTAAATAAATGTTCTCTGTGTCGATATTAATATGCATTTATCTACAAAACCCATTGGTATTTAACTGAATTTGGATTATGTACCTCTGGGCATCCCTTGGTAGTTAGTCTTGCCGTAACGTCACCTGTTCCCCATCCTTCCCCAATTCTAGTCTGCAAGGAAGGAAGACTGAGTCCATAAATACCACTGCTGAGCATTTCCTGTATCTGGCCTAGGGAGAAACAAGCTGCTTTTTCCAGCGTTCAAATTGGACATAAAACTAGGGTGCGTAGGGAGGAAAAAGAAAATTCGAAGTGAATAGATAAAAGGAATAGGTTGGGCTTTTAAAAATTGTTGGTTTATAACAGGAAACGAAATTCTAATAATCGGAAATCACATTCATACCTACAGCTCCAGTTTTGCAGAGCTGACAAATTTATTATTCTTCTCCCTGTCTGACATGGTGTTGAGTTTGAAAGGACAGAGTTCTTGGTTTCGGAGTTTGAGGTTAAATTAGAGACCTATTCTGGGAACAGCAGCTTCGCAAAGCACCACATGGAGATCTTCAGTAAAGCCAATTGCTTTCTGGCTGCCTAGCAAAAAGGCTTCCTCTGTGTTTCTGGGTTAGAGACTCATTCCTTCAAGGTTCCACAGAACCTAGTCAATATCCAGACTAGAATACACCTCCCCGACCAGGTTACCCTCCCCACCCCGCAAGAAGCAAGCCGAAATTGCCACTCACTCACAGGGGTAGTGACTCCGGTCAGTCTCCATCCACTCGGGGTAAGAAGGGTCGCGGCGGCGATGGGTTGGCGGTTCTGGGTCCCGCCTCCGCAGGTGTTGCGCATCTTGTTCTGGCAAATCCAGGAGGCTGCGCACAGTGAAGTTAATACGTCCAGATGTGCCCATGGCTGCACTGGCCTGCAAAGGGTGGGCGAAAGGGTGCTGCGGCGCAGCTGGAAGCTGAAAGCTAGACTCCTGGTGTTGCGTGACCAAAGGAATACTAGTGTCGTTTCCAGGAGGATCCCTATTTATATAAACAGTTCTCCCAACTCTGGTTGCTTTGAAAACTGTCTCTGTCAGGATAAGTACCTGAATTAGTTTGGGGGTTTTAACCCTAAAAGGAGACAGTAAGGTGCCACCTCAGTCCTCTCCTCGGCCCCGCCCCTCCCCGTTACCTCCCAGAGACAGCAGGAAGCAGGCTTTAGCTTTAGAGATTCTGTCTGATTAGCCTAAAGTGAGGACAGATAATGGGGATTCTTACCAGTGAATAACATCTTGGGTGGCAAGCGATGGTCCACCACCCGCCCACCTCCTCTATTCCCCATCCCCCCAGCCTTCGCTAACACCCGCTTCCTTCTTCTGCACTGACACAGTCTGGTCCTCATCAGAGTTCTAGAAGTCTGGAGGAGGGTGGGGGTGGATATGAGGGTGAAATGGGTGTGTTTTACGAGGATCCAGGAATTTATTCCCTGTTTGCTTTATTCATTGAGGTTGTTTGCTGGCTTGTTAGTTTCCCCTCAATTATCTGGGAAGTGATTTACAAGGGTGGAGTTAAAAGGCCCTCCTCCATCTTCTCTCCCCTCCCCACTCTACTTCTCCCCTAAGAAAACAATCTGCCATTCATCTATGTAGCTGTATAGCCACAGAATGTTAGCATTTCTGCTTCTGCCGATGCTGGTCACACCACATGATGAATCATTCTTCCTTTAGTTGAAATAGTCTCGGATTCTGGTCTTTCAGCGTTAGCTGAAAGTGCAGTCCGTATTTCCATTTGTGGCTTCACCTGAATGTTGAAAGGCAGGGCCATGTTCCTCATGGATTCACAGCAACTCCAGACCTGTCTCAGGGGATCCACAGGCAAAGTATAAAGAGTGGTTGAGGTAACCATCCAGGTAACCCAGACCAAAATCTCACTTTCCTGATCTACTAAGACGGTTGGTTCAGCCTTCCACTTTTGTTTTAACTGGTAAGACCCACTGCCCAACCATCTGCTGATGACCCATTTATCTATTTGCTTGCCCCACATACCCCTACTCAGCTCAGATGACGGCTGTGGATCAGAATTTGTCTAGAAATAGATTCCCATACACTGTTTTCTTACTGCCCACCCAATCTCTAACCCCTAGGGCTTTCAGAAAAGAAGGAACTGAGGTGAATGTGATATCCCCATTTCAGATTCGATAGCCCTGGGGTTTAGGATTGCATGTCACTGCCAGTGTCCCATCTCAGGGGTTCCAGAGCCAGTCAGGTATGATGATTACCCTAAACTGAATCACTTTGGAGTATGGTAATATTGTTTTGAAAGCAGTACAACTCTGCTACACATCCCAGCTTTCATCAGAGGGTCCCTCTCCTTAACTTACTTGGCAGCACTAGCCAGAGCTGTGGTGAAAGAGGTGGAAAGAGACAAGCCTGACTTCTGGAAAGGTGGGTCACCACCCACTTCAGCAGTAGCTGGGCTACAAAAGTCCCCTTTCCCCAGAGATGCTGTAGAAACTATCCTGGAATTCTTAACCCTACAGCATCCTATTAAGGAAAAGGAAAGTGAAGGTCTTATAGGCCACTAGTGTCAAACAAATATAAAGGGAAGGGGTCAGTAGAATCTATACACAGGAATCTCTGCAGACCATATTGACTCAGTTTTAAAATGTAATATTATCTGTTTTATTGTATTTGTATTTATTTTGTTAAATATTTCCCAATTACATTTTAATCTGGTTATGGCTGCACTTGGGAGTGTTATGGGTCTCATGTTGCCAGCAGCTAATATGTCTGATACTTCTGCTGTATACTATTTTAGTGATGGTTTTTGTTTGTTTGTTTTTAATGTAAAGGGAGCCATCCCATGGAGTTTACAGTGAGTTGCCTTCATTGGGCAATTCAAAAAATGTATTGCTTTGGAATGATAAAGTAAGCTAGTGGTCCAATGGCCTCTTATTCCTTGAAGGCTAAAGGGGGAAGAAGCAAGGAGGGTTAAAAAAAAAACTGCCTCAAAACTAAAGCAGATAGGAAAGATCTGTAAACCAAGGGGAGTGATCTTCTTAGTGGATCTTAAAAAAAGGAGTGACTGGCTCTTTTCTTTGACTCTCTCGGTTGAAGTTTGTAACTCTGAAACTTCCTTTGAGAGGAAGGGCAGGTTAGACAGTCCACTTTTGGGATATGGAGAATGCTCTGGCTACCACATGGAAGTAGGCCAGTTGGACTGGTCCCACTTTGGGATGAGCCTTGAAGACCTTGATTCTTAAGCCTCTTCTGCTTTATGTTTCCTTCCCTGAGCACAGGTGACTGAATATGGATCAGGAGATAAACTGGACACTTGTCTAGTCTTGGAGGCAACCTTGTGAATTCGGGAGATCAAGAGGTTCTCAGTCCCTTCATCTGACTTCCCTGATGTCAAGGGGGAATTTCCACATATGAGAGGACATGATACTAACTAGCTGCGTGACCCTAGGCAAGTCATTTAACCTCTCTGCCTCCGTTTTCTCCAATTATAAAATAGAGATAATAGCACATATTTCACAGTATTGTTGTGAGAAACAAATTAGATTGTTGTAAAACACTTAGCACAGTGCTTGGCACATATTAGGTGCTTAATAAAAACTTATCTCCTGCCCCCTTCCATGACATGAAGAGTATTTCAGACCCTGGCTAGGTTTACCAGAAAGCATGGACCTGGAGGGATTTGATTAGATAATATAGAGCTCAGGTGATATGTAAAATGCCTATTCAGTAGTTCCGTAAATTGCATCGTATCTTGATGTTTTAAGTATGTATCTCTTGGAAGAGTATCACAGTTCTCTTACTGCTGCTTAAGTTTTTTTTTAATTTATGCATGTTTGTGGGTTCTGGGTATATTAAACAGTTCTTTTGTTTACAGTAAATACATATCTTTGAGAAAAATCCTAAACTCTCTTTTTGGAAGTCAAGCTTCCCTAGGTTTTAACTTAGTCTGCATGTCCATCTGGATCCAAAGCACAGTGGAAAGGGAGAGGGCTCAGTTCCTTAGCCCCATTAGTCTCAGCAGTAGGTAATTATTTTTACATTTAAATTTCCATCCATCATACTGACAGTGCTGCTATCCAATATGTACCAAGCAGTAGCCAAATGACACTTCTCCATGTTGTATATACAGAATTATTGTCATTAAAGTACTTCTCTACCTAAATTGTTTGGAGGTACTGGTTTTTGGAGGAAAAACAGGAGTGGAAGAGTAGTCCTGTCAATGCTGGTAGGGAAAGCAATGACAATTAGAATAACACTCCCCAAGCTTGAGGGTTAGCTGACAGATAATTGAAGCAAGGCAGGAGCTGAATCCAACTAAGGGCAGCCTCTGGCTCACAGTGGGATGAAGCTCCAGATGTGGCCCTTCAATTCCCAAGAAGCAATTACAGTATCTTGATTTCTCCCTCTCCCTTTTGTATCTCCCCTCCCAAACCTCTTCACCAACCTTCCCAACCTTACCACCCAACCCCTACTCCCAAGTATGCCTGGTGACAGGGGTTCTCTGCTACTTGCATGCTGGGTGGTCAGGCAGAGGGGAAAATCAGTACAGGCCAACTGCTAGGCCTCAGACAAAGGGGAAATGGAGCTCAACTCCCTGGACCTGTTGGAAGCATTTGTTCCAGTCAGGATTTTGCATTTGTTCAGATGGAGAATAATGCATGATTGACACCTCTTCACAATGCTCTTTAACTCACTGGGATAAATCAGAGCTTGTTCTGTGTTGTCATGGTTTTGAATAGGGTTCAATAGGATTAGTACCAAGATCGACTCTGCTGGCCATCTCCCCAAAGGCCCAGGCCATACAGATTTATTAGTTATGCCTTTTTAAATGAGGTTAAATGGAAATGACTAGGCTGTCCTCTCTGAGGCCAGTTTGGGGAAAGAGCTGGCAAGTGAGAAGCGTGAAGGAGAGTTAAAGTCCAAGTTAACCCCACAAACTGATCTCCTATCCCCCTCCCAGGTCTAGTTGCTATTATTCTGTGGTGGGTGGATACAAATGTCGCTTAGGGCCACATTGATAACAGACTCCTCCATACTGTGGTATTAAAGACAGACCACCTTCCTTTTTCTCTCCTCTTATTGAAATAGCTCTAGGGATATGTGAAAAATAAATCAAATGTCTAAGTAGAAACCTAAGGTGCATTATAGGATAACATTATTAAAACAGGCAACAAAATTCAGACTCTTTAAGCACTACAGGCCTGGGAGACAAGTCTCCCAGTAGACAGTCTCCCAGTAGACAGCTGTGTGACCTAGGACAAAATACTTAGCTGTCTTAGTCACAGTTTATTCATTTTGAAGTGATAAAGTTAAATTACATGACAGCAGCTTTCTTATTTTTTTTAAACTTTGTTAAAATTATGAACTATCGTGATCTGAATTGCATAAGTTTCCTAGTGAATTTGAATCTCTGTCTCACCACTCCTCACTCCTATCACTTGAAATCTTACCACATCTACCCTTGAAAGTGCAGGCCTTTAATGAAGGGGTTTTACATTTTAAGTTTCAGCAGGATCCTTCAAGGGGGAAAAATAAACTTTTGAAGAGAAACAAATCAGAAGAAGAGAAAACAAAGTCTTCCCTTGAGTGACTGACCTCTCTTAGCCTTTTAATCTATTTAACATCCTAAGCCCACAGTGAGGAGCAGAAATAAGTAAATGGCACTCTTCATCTCTTAAGAGCTCTTCAGCATCGAATATTTGCTCTTACTCTTAGAGTTTGGCTCCCAAAGCAGGAGAAATATTCCTCATCTAGTAGTTATACTCCAGAATTATACCCAAGTTTTAGGGTTAACTCAGAATATATTTTTTTTCAATGAAAAAAAATAATCACAGAAGTTCTGGTCACAGAATGAGCCTCCTGGGGGCACACTTTTTGACTTTTGAACTTCTTATTAATAAACACAATCTATCTCCACTTTTCTCGCTCCTTTTAGGTTGCTCTGATTGCTACTTTGGAAGGAGAGGATATGGTCTGCAAGATAGATATCTCTATACCTTTTTTCTTCTTTCATTTCTAGCCTCTCCTTTCCCCACTCTAATACACATCTGCAAATCCTAGATGTAATTCTGTTCCCATATTTCTATAAAAACTGAAAAGCATACTAGGAAGAGTTGGTATATTTAAGGAAAATCCTTTCTTTGTCATATGTTGTCCTCATATATTCTTCTCATATATTGTCCAATATATAACTTCAAATAACTTCAGGATTACATGATGGTTAATTTAGCAAATTCTACACTTTGTGTGTATATGTATATATATGCATATATATATCCATACATATGCATATATTATTATGTACATACATACATTACAAAGAACATAATATAGTCTTTTGTACACTTAATTTGTGTCTGAATTTTTACACACATATGCACATACATGTGC